GAGAATTTGTATTGATGTTAAAATCAATTTGGGGTTTTAGGATTCTTAAATATCAAAATCGATTTGGAAAAGAATAAAAAGGTCAAAACTGAGTTTTGGCACTGTAGTAAACAAATATTAATTAAAATTTAACAGTGTTTAGTAATTTTCGTTAGTGGGGCTAACACCGTTAGTGTCGATGTAGTAAAACCAACACGTTTTGAAAGTTCGAATATATAAACAATAATCTTAAATAGTTCATGTATTAATCGGATAACCAAAAAAAATTGAATATTTTTTAAGTAAATTAAATTAAGTTGGAATATGTTTCATAGATTTTCCTTAGTTTATTTGATGGTGGATCCATTACCTAATCTAATTCGAATAGATAACAAAAAGACATATCATTATAAACCTTTATTTTTGGCCAATCCTTTTAGCATTCCAAGTACCAGTTAGTATAATAATATGTATTGTCAATAAATTATGTTTTCTTATCACGGAAGAAACTAGAATATTGTAGTAGTGTCTAAAAATTCAACATAGTTCGTGACATCGAAATGTTTTTTTTTTTTTTATAATTTTGAAGTTCGGACCAAAACTCTAGTTTCTGTAAGTTGAGAGTCAGTCTAGTCTTTTGTATATTTTTAAAGAGAATATGGCACTAAATGGTAGCATAAATTATGCAAATTCAGCAGGTTCAACAAATTTTGCAAATTCTGCAGTTACCATTTAAGTTTGATATTATTCAGCAAATTCCGCTAGAAATTTCAGCAAATTCTGCAATTCAGCAAAAATTTAACAGAAATTCGGCAGAAATTCTGCGGCATCAAATGGTAATAATTTGCAAAAAAATATTTATGAAAAATATCATTAAATATAGAGAATTTTTTGAAAAATACCACTTTTCAAATGCTATTTTTTAAAAATACCACATTTTCAAAATCTTTGTAAAAATGCTACTTTTTCAAAATTATTTATTCATTATTTCATTTATGTTTGTGTAAACTATGTTGTATTAGGGTTTAATTTTGAGGATTTAAAGGTTTTTAGAGGTCAAAACATTTTTTAGGGTTCAGAATTTTAAGATTTAAACTCTAAAAAATTATAATTAGTGGTATTTTTGCAAATAGACAATCCATAGTGGCATTTCTGCAAATGTATCCACCAAAATTGTTATTTTTGTAATTGTCCCTTAAATATATATGTAGTGTGATTAAATCTTACTAAATTTGCTTGATAGTTCTAAAATAATATTGTAATGTTTTAAAATTAGGTTTACTAAAAATAATTCAATTTCAATAAAAAAATATTATATCATAAA